CTAGTAGTAACAGGTGCCTTACTAGTAGTAACAATGTTTGCTTTTCAAACAATGTACTCTTTCTTTTTCGAAGAAAACACAACGCTTTGGTGAAGTCTTGCTGTGGCTCTGAGGGTTGCAAATGACACTGGCAGAAAGCAGGTCAAGAGCACGTCGCCAATGCAGGGCCTCCGGGATAAGGGTCACTGTGATTCTCGCAAAACCCAGCATCTGCAACACTTTCGGCACCCTTCCCAAACCAACATATCTGAGTGAGGTTATCTTGCTTGTCGTGGCCTTGGCACAAACGTGGATTGCGCAGCTGAAGGTAATGTCGTTTGGTGTTGCCTGAACGAAGTGGCCAGTGTATGTTACAGACTCTAGTTCACTGCTTCACTTTGGGAACACAATAAGTCCTCTAAGGAGTTGAATTCTGCGCCAAAAGCACATCAAGGAAGCACAGGAGCAAGAGAACCTCTCAGCAAGCAGCACATGATTCAAATGCTCCCACCTGAGCAGCCTCCATATCATCCAGAATTCCCAGCACATGCTTCCACTGCATAAGACCACTGATCACTGCCTCAAAATCTAGGGCCAAAATGAATAGTGCGAGCGCTTTTTCAAGGAAGCGTGAGCTATCCCGCATCCTAGCTAGGAGCTTCTAAGTTTGCTAGTAACAGTAGCGTGTTTACTCCTTACTCAATGAAGTAGGTGCCTACTTGATTGAGGAGTAGGGAGTCAGAGCGGGCTAATAATGAGTTAAACATGGAAACAGTTCTTCTAGTAACAAGAAATTACTACGGGCTCCTGGCCTTACTACTAGGAGCAAGGACGCTACTAGGGGCTGCTGGCCATCGCTACTAGGAGCATTCTTACTACTAGTAACAAGAAGCTACTACTCTCTTTTTCCAAGAAGCAATCGAGCCTCAGCTTGGTCCTTTCACTAATGGCACCGAGGCTGTTAGTCAGCGTGTAAAACAGCTGGTGCTTTCGTGTAGGACTCGGAGGACTTTAGTACCAAGTGGCTGTGAAGGCAAAGAGTAATGCCTTTGTTTCTGTGTTCTTTCCTTGTTACTAATAGCGATGGCCTCCAACCTACTTGCGATGGCCTCCACCTAGTAGCGTCCTTGTTCCTAGTAGCTTCTTGTTCCTAGTAGTAAGGCCAGGAGCCCCTAGTAGCGTCCTCGCCTAGTAGCGATGCCAGGAGCCCCTGGTAGCGTCCTTGTTTGTAGACCTTTCAGTTGGTCCCTTTTTTTGGCCAAGTGGCCGAGAAGGTGACTTCGCTCGGTCTTACACCCTGATCCTTCATACCTTGGAAGGGTACTTGGACGATTAGTTTTTTGAGACAATATGTTTTATTGTTTTTCTTGCCTTTCATTAGACCTTTAGACCGTTTCATTTAGACCTCTAAACATTGTCTTCATTTATATGTTTCATTTGTTTGTCAAAACTTTCCTTCGTTCAACTGTTCAACTTCGTTCCTTCTTTGTCCCACTTTGGTTTGTTTTCGCGTTCAATCCTTAGGGCTTTCCTTCTTCCTTTCAGTCTTTTCACTAGTGCTTTGACCTTTGTACCTCTCCTGTTGTCTTCCTCCTTTCTATGCTTCTCTGGACCGTCTAGACATTAATTTATTGAAATGTGTTTCTTTGTTTCCGTTACCTGTACTCCAGTTTTCTTTTGATTCTTACCGTCTTTGATTCCTGCTGCTTTTAACCGGTTGTTGCCTTTTCGCTCTGTTCGTTTCTGCCAAGAAAGGCTCCCCCACAACACACGCTTGTACAAAGGTACAAAGGACGCCTGAAAAAACAATACAGTAAATCGGCCATGCCCCTTTTGTCCACACACTTCTGCGGACGTCTGCTTCTGCGCTGGTTTTGTGAGGCTCACCTGGTCGGATCCAGGCTTTGGGGCGAGAACTCTTATAGGAAGGGTTTCGTCGTCGTTAAATTGATGGAGGGCAGTGGGAGCCAAATAGCAACAAGACGGGTGCGGGCAAAACAACACATGTTCGGCTGTTGGGCTGTTCGTTTTTTGGTTTGAGAGGTGCTGTTTTTGTGACCCCGGAAGTGTCTTTGAGTTCGTTTTGAAGCTGCCATTTTCCTGGTGAGAACCCAGGGGACACCCTGTCTCAACGACATTTTTGTGTATAGTAAATTACGGTGATAGGACTCTTGGTGTAGGAGTACCAGACCGTGGCGGGGATCCTAAGCCCAGGAGCAATGGCCTCCAGAGCGATGGCCTCCAACCTAAGAGC